TCTTATGAAACTTTGCATAAACAGTTTTTTAAATCATAAGACCATAGACTGGACATTTGGGAGAACGAGATGGTCTTTTGATCCCATGAATAGTAGCAAGGGCCCGGTATTCATCATCAATTTTTCTTCTCCTTGTTTTAGTCTTCTTACTCCTTTTTTAGTCGCTGCATATTCTTGTAAATGTAAGTACTATATCCATAGTAAAATAGTCAAGGATTAGAAGTAATGTTCCAATGGTATTATGAATTTTCATATCTGATTATAGACTAAACATTCTTATATTAGTTGCCTTTATATCCTAAGGATGGTAGCACGAGCTCGGTATCCTTGATCAAAATCTCTTTTCTATGTTCCAGTCTCTCATAGATATATTAGGCATGAATGATTTCTAAGTCCTTTTCTTATTTTCAAAATGAATAGTCTGTTAGAACATGAAATAATCCCTCCTTTTGTCATAGGCATTTCGGGTCGGATTAGGTATCTCATCACTAATCGCCTTTTACGTATGGGCAACTGGGTTTCTTCTTTTTGACACTTCTTATTCCTGACAGTGAATATGGGAACATATGAAGTTGAAGTTTATATGATTGGCTATGTTAGTCCCAGAGGGTCACAATATGCCATGCAACTCCTTTATGGACATTTCAAAGTTGTTCATATCAAATCAGAGTGAACTGATTATATGTACATGTCAGCAAGTTTAATATGATAACCATAGTGAACTCCTAACTTAATAAAATTCCATTTTACTTCAATATGTTTTATTTCTATAAATGTTCTTACAGTTTTATAATGCATTGGTTGGAGGAACCTGGGGAAGAGCTATATCTAAGGCATGATATTTCTATGGTCTATGAGAACTATTCCCAAAATATGAATTTGGACTAGAACGATCATCCTACCAGCTAATCCTTTTTGAGGTTTTATAGTAGTAGATTTTAGTGGATTATCTTATAGACATCATTCAATATTAATTTCATTTTTTTTTGTTTTATTAATCCTTCAAATAATTTTTAACCCAATTAATTATTTACTAAGGCTAGGATCCATATTTGGCTTTGTGATGTGTAAAAGGATGTCGTAAACACACTACAAGGTTATTTAGGTAGGCAAAGCTCTTTGCTAGTTTCAATCTCCATGAAACTCTAGATCTTTTGAGATTCAATAACTTTGAATGGCACGTTAATCTCGAGTTAAGCTCATCTCAATTCTATGACATGGATGTCACAGATCATAGAACATATGGTGAATCAACCATGCAAAACCGTATGACCCTAGATCTAAATTATTCTCTCATTGATGTGTCGGTTAACCACATACGCTCCAACAACAGAATAATTTTTCTCAGTGCCACATCATTTCTCACATTATGTTCTCGCTTTGATGTGTCGGTTAACCATACATGCTCTATCAACAAAATATATCGCAAAGTGTGTGTTTTCATGGGTAGCTTAAGACTTATATTAATGAAACTGAAATTTGTTTTATAATTTTAGTTAATACTTTTAACTTTCAAACAATGATCCTATCAAACCCTTTCAGTAACTCCCATCTCAAAATGTAAAATAGTTGTGAGGATGGTAAGCCTAAGGGGTTTTAAAAACCGACCTAATTAGGAATCAAAATGAAATCCTTACACCTCTCTTATAACATTACATTGGGTGATTCTAGTCATGCTTCGACGATAACATTTCTGCTAAACATGTGAGGGCACATGTTTGTAATAATTTCTTATACATATAATAATCTATTATAATATATAGGCCAATTTAGACATTTTAAATTTGATCTTTATATTTTTAAATATTCAAATTTAATTCTCTAATTAAATAATATTTAAAATTAAATATTTAGATTTAAATTCTAATTTAAACAATAGTAAAAATAAACCAATTAAATATTTATATTTAAATTCTTATTTAAATAATATTTAGAACTAATCTTAGATTGAATATTTAGGTTTAAATAATTTAAATAATATTTAGATTTATCCATTTAAATATTCTGATCTAAAATCTTTTAAATAATATTTAAGATAAGATTCTTTACCTAAAAATTCGAAAAATACCAAAAATATAGAAACTGAAAAACGTCCAGTTGCACCGCAAACAAGAGGGGACACGCCACGAACTTTATAGATCCAGAAAACAATTTTAATTATACAAAGCAATACATATAATTAAAACCTCGCTCTGATACCTCTGTTGGGTTTTATTACATCTATACACATATGATTAGTATACACATATGATTAGCATAGCGGAATAAACAAATTAATCTTTATGTGTACATGCACCCTAGGATCTTGGTTTTACTAATTATAGCATCCTACTTTGGATTTAACTATAGAAGGATAAAAACTATTACCTTTTGATCTTTTGATTGAGACCTTGTGATTGCCAGCTCTTGCAAAGGATGAAGGACTCAATGGAGAATCCCTCAAATGTAGTCAGACCCAACATGCCAGGAAGCAAAACAAGAAAACCTTAAGAAGAGATAAGTCAAAATTTATATATCCCAAGAGACGAGATATAAACTTTGAACTCATTGAGAAGTAGGGAGAACAAAATTATGAGGCACAAAAGGACCTTGTTATTATTTAGAAATATTATCAATAGTTAATGACTTTGGACACTATCTCCAACACTTGTAACATACCAAATTTCAAACCAAAATTTTCATTTAAAATCTGATTAACATTCAAGCACATTCCTGAAAACATATTGTGCTATCCTTTTTTTCGAAAACATAAGTTTAAACAGAGTTTATTTAGAAAAATCAACGGAAGTCAAATAACAATAAATCTTCGATGTGAATATATAGACGTGTCGCACGTTTCCTCAAACAACTTGAAAAACATTTAAATTAACAATGTAAGCATAATGTTTAATGAGTTTCCCAATATACCACATATTCCACCACACATACAATGCATACAAGCAAGGCTCTCGACACTATAACCGATCCATCATCATCCCTATCAAACATAGATATCAAAATTACATATACAATCATCGGCACCCTCTCATCAGACCCCTACCGGCTCCCAGCCGTTATATAACCACCGGCTCTCATCCATACCATAATCATACAAAAGTTATTGTTAATAATGAAGGACCGCATCATGAATACATAGTTATAAAATAAGATCGCCAGTCGAGTGTTGTAGTTTCTCTGTTTCTTGATCTTTTTTGTCCCAAGTATCATCATTAAGAGTATTTTTCATACTTATTTAGCACTTGTCACATAATCAAAAAGACCAAAAATATTAGGTGGAATTCCAGAGGTTAGTTCTCTAAGAGCTTCATTGTCAAGCTTGATATGTTTGCGATCAGCTTCAAAATATTGTCAAATGATTGAACAAACATCATACCTAGAATATTGAATGTCCGAGTATCAACTTCAATACCTATTTGCTCCATTTGAACAGTAACATCATGTGGCCCACTAACAACATATTTCCAAACTGCTCCATATGCTAAGCCTTTCAGATCATACTTCATACATTTCCTCTGTTGCATACATTTTTCTATAACCAAAATTGGTTTCTAGTTTGTCAAACCCTAAAATCATTTCATTATTTGCAGTTATTCTACATATTAAGACAATCGGGTCCAAAGGTCGTGCAACTTACATGACAATCAAAATATGTTATAAGAACTATTAACATCCATTGATTTTTACTTTATTTTAGAGATACTTGATTGAACAATAATTACCTTTCGGGTATTTGTTTGATTTTTTTTTCTTTCGATTTCAGGTTTTAAGAGGAAGAAGATGAAAAACTGTTTTAGTCTTTACATTCAAGAAGATTGGAAGCACAATAATCATTTTATGTTGAGCAAATTTCAAAAAAGCTTTTACATTTTCAGTCTTTAACCTAAAGATGATAACGATTACAATTTTTTTCCTTTTAGCAGGAAAATACTTATAATATATATTTTTTACAACCATTGTTTACCAACTAAAATAATTAGGGTGGTACAAATACTTACACGAACTCAACAAAAGAGTCTATTCCAAAACCATGAACACCAAAACAGCCCAATGTCTCAAAATTTATCGTAATAATTTATAGCCTCTAATTTCTTTTAGTATGTAAATAAAGTCGTATATGAAATAAATCGGAATAATCAAAGACCTTTTCTATAAGAATTTGCAATTGACATTTTAGGTAAAAAGCTTTTCTGAAATTCACTTTTTTTTTTACTTTAGACAGGTGCAAACTTATGAGCTACTCGGAATCAACTCGTTAAAAGCTCGACTCGAAACCAATTTTAAACGAGCCCAAGCCGAGCTCGAGCTTACTATTAAGCTCGTTTATTAAACGAGCTCGAGCTCGAGCCTATGTCATTAAGCTCGATTAAGCTCGCGAGCCTAAACGAGCCTACATATAATATTATTTATTCTTATTTATATATATATATAAATAAATAATATTTGGGGAATTAAGAATTTAGGGTATCAATAAACGAGCTTCTTAACAAGCTCAAACCGAACTTAAGCTTATTTAGACACGTTACACAAAAACCAGCTGAACTCGAGCCCAAACCGAGCTTGTATAGTTCTTTATGAGCTCGAGGCGAGCTTAATACAAAAAAGCTCGAATCGAGCCGAGCTCAAGCTTGAGCCTCGTATAACTTAAACGAACCCGAGCCAAGTCTGCTCTAGCTCAGCTTGACTTGGCTCGTTTGCACCCCTACTTTAGACTTAACATATTTGCCATCCAATCGAAGTTAACATAACTACATTTTAGGGGGCGTGAATGTAACAAACCAAACATGTGGACAAAAACCATAACTTTTGACATACCACACAAAAAACTTAGAATTTACTCTTCAAGAAATATATCTAAACTCATTTTTCATCATTTTACCCAAGTTTAACATCTTGTTTAATTTCAACAACCCAACAACACAAAAGGGTTAAACCCCATCCTCTCCCCTCATCTCCTCTTGTTTTACTAATTCCATCCGTTTTTTTACCAACAAATTACAAAATCAACAAGAGTGTTTATGTGAAAAAGTAGAAACATCTGGCACCACATACATCTGCAAAAAAGAAACAATTCAGCAGCTATGCCTATGCCTATGCCTATGCCTACACCTACGATTCCTGACCCATTCAGACACTTTTTGTTTCGTTATTTTACCTTGTTAAGTAGAAGAGACGTTTGAAACTGAGCATCATCTTTTATAAAACTCCACCACATGTAAGTAAGTGGGATTGTAGTTGCATGCCAAACCGCATGTGCATCAATAAATCCTTCATATGGAGGAAAATCATATATTTCTAAAAGCATTGCAAATGCACCCGAAACTATCACAAACCATAGTTTTATACGCGATGGATGATGAGTTATTCCACCCCATATTGCCCATATTAGTAGTTGTGCTACTCCCATTGTAACACACACTTTCATGTTCCACCCTGTTGAGTTTTTTTTATTTATTTAAATTATTGGTTATTGATTGTAAGAAATTATATATATATTATATATATATATATATATATATATATATATATATATATAATGGATTATGGAAATGGGAAAGTTACCATAGTCGAGTTTGTAGTTGTTGAGGTATAAAATGTGGGTGGTGATAAATGCAAGTAAAGGGGCTGAAACCATGACTCTTGCAGCTTCAAGCCTTACATTGAAGCTTCTTAATATGGAAATAATGAGGGAGTATCCAAGTAATGCAATTGCTGAAAAGTAGTCTAGTTTTTCTGTCAATTCCACTTCTCTGTGTAACAATAAAATTTGTTATTTTGATATATATATATATATATATATATATATATATATATATATATATATATATGAATTTGTATATATTTGGAAAAAAAATATATTAATCGGGTAGTGTTTGGTATGCAGTAATTGAAGAGGGAATGGGAATGAAAATCTTGTTTGTGTTATATAATCTTCAATAAAAATGATGTTCATTGAAATTTCAAAACTTTAATTAAATTATCTTTTGTTATTTTTTGAAAGTAACTAAAAATATTTTTAATTGTAGTTCTGGTTTAGGGTTTTATGTAGAAAAGTCTCATTATTTTGGAAGAATTGTTGATGAAGTCCTTTTTTTTTAATAGAAATGTCCTGATTATTTAATGTTTTGCCAAAGAAAAAGTCCTTATTTTTATTTTAACAGGAAATGACAGATTTTCGTGTAAAATTAAATAATCTGGACTTTTCTGTTAAAAAAAAGGACTTTATCAAAAAATTTCCCAAAATAATGAGAGTTTTCTGCATAAAACCCTTCTATTTTATGATTTCAAGATATTTAATTTTTTTGAAGTGTAAGAAACTATTTTGATTATTTGAAACCCTTTATTTTATTATAGTTTATTTTTCTAGAAAAACTTTTTTTTCTTTAGTTTTCAAATTGTATATAACAAACATATAATATTGTTTGCATGACTCATTCCATTCCTTAAAGCGAACCAAACATGGTAATGGAATTGGAATGTAATGACTGATTCCATTCCTTTGTGGTTTCATTCCGATTCCATCATACCAAACAGACCCTTATAAAATACAAACTCACCTACTATGAAAAACAACACTCCAAAACCATGAATTCAATGCTAGAAGCCCATATAGATGCCATAAACCAGCATAATCATAGTAAGGCTTTCTATCTAATTTCATAGGAAGCTTGTAATGCAAAAGAATGAAGAAAGAAAGCCACCCATGAAAATGCATTGCTAAATTGAGAGCAGAAAATGCAACAGAAGCAGGCTCCTGTTAAAAAACTATTTAATTTTTAAATGTTATTTAGAATCAAAGTTGAGGTGTTAAGATTAATGGGAATGAACAAACCTGAATTCCGAATACCCTTTTGAAAGGCCATTTTCCATGATACTTGACTGGTTTTTGACCTAATGATGCTCTTTCTTGCTCCTTTTTTAGCATACAATGATATCTACAATCACTTTGACAATCCCATTGTTTCCATTGTAGATACTGAGAGGTGGCATTAGATGAGAAGTTGCAGTGTGGAAAGCATGTGTCTCCAACACATCCAATTTTCTCACATTCTATTAGGCATGATCTAGATTAGGTACAAAAAAGATGTGTAAGTTTTCATTTGAAAGATGATATGGAGATATGAAGATATGAAGATACAAGGTTTACCTGTATGAAGGGTCAGCATCACCAACGCTTGCATGAAGAACACCCAAGAAACAAGAAAGTGACAAAAGGAAAGTAATCCAGTAGCAATTTAGCAGCATCTGATAAGAAAGTTGTTTTACTTGTGTTAAAATGAATAAGATATGATATTGGCATAATTGATAAAAATAACCGAATCGCATCATTTGGCGAATCACTCTAGGAAAAATCTTTCAAACATGAATTCCATATAACAGTCTCAAGTGTTGATTTAGATGATTTGGGAGTGAATTTGTTTGAGCTCAAATCGTAATTTGAAAGTGTAGAGGATATGATTTCAAAAGGTTTGTGGTGTGGGTTTTAGAGATTCGTTTGGTGGGTTTCAGGAACAGGTAACGAAGCTGAAGAGAGTAAATATCCAGATATTTGATCTTCTGCTCGAAGCCCGAAGGCTGACCCCATGGCGGTTGTTTCAACTTTTAATCGTGCTCCTATGTAAAGATCGAGGACAAGGATGAACTTCTAAGCTATAAGATGGTATATTTGAAATGGAGCATATCCATTATATCCAGAAGTGAAAAGGTTCAACAAAATATGTTGGCAATGAGTCTTGGATTTGTTACCTGCAGCGATGAATGGTTGCGACGGCAGTGCAGCAATGAACGGCGGCGGGAGGAGTGGTTGTGAGGTTGGGACTTGGGAGAGCGATTCGATCTGATGCTGAAATTAACAACACCTGGTTTGGATCATAAAAGCAACTGTAGTAAATACCTAGTCAATTAGTAAATCAACTAACTTGATTATAGAGCATATAATGGTGTACGAATACTAATTTGCAAGTTACACTAATTCCGAGAATCTAATCGCTAATGGCAAACAGTAGCAGAAATTTCTCAATGGGGCTTGTAACTCAAATATCAGAAACCACAGAATGGACAGATCTGAACGGATTTTGAGAAAAAGAAGAAGTGATCTTCACCGTTTACCTTGTGGAACTTCCGCCCGATTCACCTCGTCAATGCTATGCGTGTGAGTCGAAGAGAAATTATTTGTGAACTTCTGATTTCCTTTTATCTACCCAACTAGTCCTTCATGTATCCATAAAATACAATGTAATCCTTGTAGTTTTGTAACAAACGACCATGAACTTAAACCTTTGTGGTCTTTAAGTTGATATCTTCAATATTTTTAAACGACGCTTTTAGAAACTAATATGTTTACAAAAATAAATGTCATTTAATTTCATTAAATGTTTCTTAAAAAGATGAATAAAATATCTCAAACACATGAAAGATTGTAACTTCATATCTATAATTGTAGTCTTTAGATTATAAGAATGTTTCATCTTCATGGTGATAATATTATAGGGGAAAGGAGGTGTTAAATGTTGTGTTTGCTTATTCACGCCCCCAACACACACACACATACACACGTACACACCCCATAGGGGTTAGGTGAGTAGTGTTTCTCAAAGGGTGCTACTATACATACCCTCATCATTCATATAAATTGTCAAATTATATGGGGTACACAACCACTATTTCACTAATAAAGGGGTACGTTAAGCACTTTGGGGGTATGTATATAATTTCCCTTCTTAAATGTTAGATGATATGGTTAAAAGCAGTTCGGATGACCAATGAGTGATTGGGGGGTGTTCAATGGTCAGATACGAAGATAGACAAATGGGGTACCGAGAGTACATGATGGGTACGAATTTTGGTTATAGGAATGATGAGGCTCGATTTTCGCTTGATTTTGCTACAACACATTAGTCATAAACTTCTCTAGAAAGAGAGATGTTCATGTGATTACTGTAAGTCCCAAATTTTGCTTGATGTATCAATCCGATCTCAATCAAGCGGATGATGGAAGATCAAATGGAGAAGAAGAAGAAGAAGAACTTGATGAATCTCTATCAATTGATGATATTCAATGATGCTCCACACATAAGATTCACACACACACACACACACACACACTTCTTCTCTCTAACTTTCTTTCTCTAGCACATGATATGAATGAATGTTCCTCTAAACTCATCACCCTTACATCTATATATATATATATATATATATATATATATATATATATATATATATATATGGACCGCAAACTCAAGGCCCAAACCCAATGCAAGACCAAAAACACATGGGTTTTCGGTCCAAGCTACAAATAAACCAAATATTATTTTCGGCCCAAGACTAAAAACAATAAATGCTAAGAAAAGCAAAGTAAAAACCATATTTTTGACCCAACAATCTCCCCCTTGGTTTATAGCTTTCTTTTCTTTGACCCAACAAACTCCCCCTAAAAATGTAGCTGACTTTTCTTGTCAATCTTTATTTGGACCTTGGCTTCAGCTTTTTGTCTTCTATTTCTTCACAACTTCAAGATAAACAACTAAATCTTCTAGGTGAATGACTTCATCTTGAACAGTTGGGCATTTCTTCAAAATTTGACTTTGAACGCATGGTGGGTGAGGAGGCTTCTTGAAAGGATTCTTGAAAATTAGCGCTTTCAGCTTGGGAAACTTCAGAGAGAATATCAGAGAGTGTAACGCCCGCAGATCCGGGCTAGTCAATTTAGAGACGATGAGCATCAAAAATAAGTTTTTGATGGAAGATTATTTAGAATGATTAATCGTAACCAAGTTGTAGTATATGTTACAAGGGTTCCGTACATATAAAGAATGCCGAAATCCGAATTATAACGAAGAAGTTATGGCCCGTCGAAGTTTTACGGCAAAACCGGCACGACACCGGGAGACGTAAATAGTGAATTTTTGATAAAAAACTTTTTAGCCTTAGAAATCTAAACAGAATTTGTAGTATACGTTAAACCGAGAGCGTCCATAAAAAGAACGCCTAAATCTGACTTCGTATGAGGAAGTTATGAATTTTCTAAGATTTGGCCTAGCAGTGCACGGCCCAAAACCCGAATTTTAGTTCGAGCGGTTTTTGTCTTACGCGACCTAAATGAGAGTTGAAGATCTTATTAATAGGAACTCAACGGTAAAAAGACAGACGAAAACGGAGTCCGTATGAAGGAGTTACGAATTCTTCGCGGTCATTTAACAGTCTAATCTCCTCCTACTGTTAAATTTAAGATCGGTCTAGAACTATCCGACGGAGTCAAAATGAAAGTTGTAGATCTTATTTTTACCTACGCGTGGATATAAATAACGTCAAAAACGGAGCTCGTATGCGAAAGTTATGAATTTTTGAAAATCGGCTGATTTACACCCTGTGTGCGATGCCACGTGTCAGCACCAGGCTGTGACTTGGTGCCTAAGTTGGCTCACGACGTGAGCATCATAAAACTCACGACGTGAGTGACCCTCCAGCCCCCTATAAATAAGAGGTGAAGCCTCCATTCTTCCTCACACCTCCCATAACTTCCCTCTCTCTCTAGAACCTCTCTCTAGCCCCCAAAACCCCCCGAAAAGCCTAGGGAACCTCCCTAGCACGAGGCGGAAGCCCCGGAGCGCCCGACGGCTCCGAGAAGAAGAGCCTTTTAGCTCGGGAACGCTGCTCCAGCGAAGCCCGATTTTGAGAAAAACCCGTTGTAAGTGAGCTACGCCTACCCTATCTTTAGTATAACTTATGTTTCAATATAGTAACATTATTAGGACCTTAAAATAATTATTTGGGCTATTATTATGAGTTATATAAGAGTGTTGCTTAACGCTTATATAATAGTAATAATGGCTAGACTATTAACTAGTCTCGGTAAATATTAGACTAAACCCTAGTGGTAATGGTACTAGGTTTTGTCGAAGGAAATTGTTTTAAGAGTAACGAAGTGTTGTCCGAGTGCCGAGTCACCACCATATCAGGTGAGTGCATAGTTACTTTCATCTTACACATAGACATGAAGTATTTTATATAAATTACCTGCTATGTGTACATATTATCTGTATACTTGCTATCTATGCTGGATGAGCGATTTTATACAAGTTTTATATGATTTAAACTGTATATGTATTTATATCTACATAATATGTTGGGTAAAACATGGGTAGATGAAATATGAGTTGAGAGGTGATATAGACCATGAGGTAAGGGTGAGAGGTGGACGATGTGAGAAGCCTTTTTCCCAAATGATGTCCTCGTCATCTAGCAGAGTATGGATGACAACCACGGACTATTCTAGACAGTCCAGTGGAACACTAGCAGGCTCGCAACCTGTAGGTGTTTTGAACGATGTGTTCACCCGATGTACTCTAAACCCTGGCGATCATGCAGACTTGGAGCCTAAACCTTGGCGATCATGCAGACTTGGTGCCTGTTGTATAAACCTTGGCGATCATGCAGACTTGGTGCCAAAACCCTGGCGACTATGCAGACTTAGTGCCTGTTGTATAAACCCTGGCGATCATGCAGACTTGGTGCCTAAACCTTGGTGATCATGCAGACTTGGTGCCAAAACCCTGGCGACTATGCGGACTTAGTGCCTGTTGTATAAACCCTGGCGACTATGCAGACTTAGTGCCTGAACCCTAGCGACTATGCGGACTTAGTGCTTGTTGTATAAATCCTGGCGACTATGCAGACTTAGTGCCTAAACCCTGGTGACGATGGACTTCGTGCCCATTCCTTAGGATGATCCTTAGGAATGAATGAACGAGGAATAGTTGATTCTTAGGGTAGACCCTTAAGAGTAAAGAAGATAATGGGGATGGGTAATTGGGTTGATTGTTTGATGTTTAAACATAATAATTATATTATTGTGGGTTGAAAACCCTATGTACTCACCAGGTTTCCCAACCTGACCCACTCCAGCTTATTTCTATCACAGATGTCGATATGAAGTTACATTACACTGAGACATTTAAAGGGGTGTAGATCACTAGTGTAAATGAATGTAAGTTCTGTTTATGCTTATGTTTCTGTATTGACGATGACATCCCAAATGTTTTAAAATGAATAAAAATACATTTCTTCGGAAATGCTTTGATAACGTGTTTATCATGTTTTACTGGGAACAAATTCCGCAACATTTTTATTAAAAGAAGTACTCTCATTTTTATAAAGCATAAACAAAAATCGGTCTTTTCTGACCGTGAAAATGGGGATGTCACAGAAAGAACGAATCTTCTGGATCACTTCAGCAGATACATAGATAGCAACAAATTGATTGAGGAGGCTTCAGTGCAATCTGTCACATAATCTTCAAGTACAACTTCACCTGGCTTCTGGGGTTGAAAAATTAAATGTTGAAAGAATAATCTTCATTTCTTGTTCCTTCAAATGAGAATTTTTCGACAATCACGGATGAAGCTTTGGCTCAGAAAATCTCGGTACAATCTCCATGAGTCTCATCTACATCTGAATTCACTTTTCAAGACAAAGAAAAAATTGAGATAAAAACAAAACTAAAAGAAAACTTAGCACACAATATTTTTGGATTTTTGATTTTCTAAAAAAAAAACAGAAACAAGAATATTTTTGGATTTTTTTTTGAAAAAGAAATAAAAAAACAAAAATAACACTATTTTTGGATTTTTGGTTTTCTGATTTTTGTTTGGTTTTTTAAAATTTTTAATTCTCCCCCTAAATTTGTGCATAGAGGAAAACTATGAACAAATTTAACAAAAACAAAAATAATAGCTAACTTTAAGACTGATTTGGGATCAAAGTTGTCAGGCAATTCAATATCATTTATCAGCACACACATGTATGTTTAGATCTGGTCAATCACCGGTATTGTGATCCACTTAAACACAAAGGATATTGACAAATTGGACAGATTATAAGTGACAAGACATTGTGATCTATATTCCTAAATGGAACATTTGGCTGACGACGACCAAAGATATTGTTGTCCACTTAAATTCAGCAGCGATATCTACAGACAACCTTTTAAGTTGTTCAATTTTAGATGTACTAGAACGTGTTTCCCACTTCCCGACATACCCCGGTAATCAAGAACTTCCAAAGAACTCCTTACTTTAGATGAGTATTCAATCATTAAGAAAGAAGTCAGATATAGAAGTGCATATGTTGTATCCCAGGTCGGATGTTTTCCAATCACGCAGAGGGAAGAACGTATGACTAACATAGATAGAGGGTTAGAGAGATAGTAGGATGCATATGTTGTGTCCCAGGTCGGATCTTCCGATCATGCAGACGGTACAACATATGGCTAACAGATAGAAAGAATTGCATAGATAAGAAGATGCATAGAAATAGAGTTGCATATGTTGCATTCCAGGTCGTATATGTTCCAATCGCACAAAGGAGGCAACATATGGCTGACAGATAGAATGCAAGAAAATAATTTCCTACAGACATACTTTATTAGAACCCCCCGGTCGCCTTATCAGTACCGGAATTAAGGACATGAGTCCATACATCGAGGAAATGTTAAGCCACAATTCTAGATACATATATTTTTAGTGTATACTGCAGGTTCCCATGTTTATCTCACTGCTCAATCTACC